TGTGACTATACATCACTGCATCAGCAACTACACAGTTACTGGAAGTTGAATACAGCAACACGCAGCATATTATCAGTGTTTCTCTGCTCATCTTTACTTTGACTGAAGCACAGGCTAACAGACTACACTAACACACTAACAGATCTCTCAAGATCTCTGCCTCCTCACTTATTACAATCCAGACTTTATTTCTTTCATACTAACATTCTTAATGAGAATCAACAGAGGTTTACAAGTTGATGTTTTATTAAAAATAATAAAGTTTGATGTCACCATTTTGGTGATCAGTGTTTGCTTTAGTTGGGCTCTTGACCCTTCAGTTTTGAACATTAGTTTATTCTGGCTGCTTTAACTGTGTGTCTCTGATACATATTTGTTATGGTAGGAATCCAAGAGAAACTCAGATCAGGGTCACTTTTAGTGATAATAGTCATCATGTAGTGGCCTCATTTACTGATACTACCTGAAGTCTAATATCTGATTAAGTCGTTAACTATTAGTTGTTAATTTTGCATGCCAATACTGCTGCAGAAAATCCTGCAGTGCTGTGATACTCTGAAAGATTTTATGAAGTCATTATACAGAAAATTGATTTACAGGATCATATAGACTCACACAGACATCAAGAATCAGCGTATAAATCGCAACAATGAAAGAAATTCAGATCAACACTGAACTCATCACAAAACAAGCTACTAAAGTCACAAAAAAGCTTTGTTGATTGTCACCATTGTTGAGATTCATATGTTGATTCTTGTCTGTCTCTATACTCCTAAAAAAAAACCCAGCTCAAAACATTTTCTGTATAATATACATTTTTTTTTATTTCAGAATATCAGATTGTCATGATACTATGCCACAATATCATCTTGTGAAAAATTGTGACATTAATCATACTCTATATACACTCACCTAAAGGATTATTAGGAACACCTGTTCAATTTCTCATTAATGCAATTATCTAATCAACCAATCACATGGCAGTTGCTTCAATGCATTTAGGGGTGTGGTCCTGGGTAGGGTTGCACCAGCCGTTCGTAACTTCTTTCTTAAATTGTAACGTAAAGTCCACACTAGAGGCTTATGGCGCTTTTCCATTACCAGTACCAGCTCGACTCGACTCGACTCGCCTTGGCTCGACTCGGCTCGCTTTTCGCTCCGTTTTCCATTGCAGAAAGTACCGCCACAAATAGTACCCGGTCGTCATAGCGACGCATTTCGTTCCTCGTTGCCCCATCAAGCTCACGCTGGATCCTCTCTTCGGCAACTAAACAAAGGAATGTCTGCACCTCCTCGTTTGACCACGGCGTATTCTTCCGAGTTGCCATAATAATAGTAGTAAGTTTAGTAACTATCTCTGGCCAAACTATTTAAAAATGGCGGGGTTATTCTGGATACTCCATCTGGCGCGTGCAATGATGACGCAGATTCTCTGTGACCAATCAGCAGTCGGCATTGTTTTCACGTCACATTTTAGTATCGGCTTAGCTCGCCTCAGCTCGCTTAGAACCTCGCCGGAGGTGGTACGAAAAAAAGTACCCGAAAGCAGGTACAGGTACAACTTTTACACAGTGGAAAACCAAACAAAGGCGAGTCGAGTCGAGTCGAGCCGAGCCGAGCCGACCCGAGCCGAGGCGAGCTGGTACTGTGTAGTGGAAAAGCGCCATTAGTAACTACTAGCTAGTTTGTAACTAACTCTGTACTTTATTCCATTGCACCATTTGTTCGTAAGGTAGAACTTAGCTAGTAGGTCGTAAACTCTCCGTAAAGTAATGCGTAGTCGCATAATATGACGTTTAGCCTTGATGAACCAATAGCAGCCTTCAAATACGTGAGCAGAAGTTGTGTTGAAATGCCGTGAATTTCAGTTTATCCTTCATTCTAACTTCTTTTGCCTCACGTTACTAACGGTAAAAATAAGTTTACATTTAATACGATACTTGATCATGAATAACAAGTGTTTTTATATATAAATAACATTCAGAAACTGTATTTGAAATGAAATTAATAAGGATCAATAAATAAATATTCATACAAAAAACAAGAAATTACGTTTATTGATTATGACTGATATTTGACATGCACAACATGGACCGATGCACACAGCGGCGCTGTTTAGGACGGGTTCGTGTTAAAGAGCTGCTAGCAAAGTAATCTTTTCACATAATGTTGAAGACTGGAAAAATGTTGCCTGGTCTGATGAGTCTCGATTTCTGTTGAGACATTCAGATGGTAGAGTCAGAATTTGGCGTAAACAGAATGAGAACATGGATCCATCATGCCTTGTTACCACTGTGCAGGCTGGTGGTGGTGGTGTAATGGTGTGGGGGATGTTTTCTTGGCACACTTTAGGCCCCTTAGTGCCAATTGGGCATCGTTTAAATTCCACGGCCTACCTGAGCATTGTTTCTGACCATGTCCATCCCTTTATGGCCACCATGTACCCATCCTCTGATGGCTACTTCCAGCAGGATGATGCACCATGTCACAAAGCTCGAATCATTTCTAATTGGTTTCTTGAACATGACAATGAGTTCACTGTACTAAAATGGCCCCCACAGTCACCAGATCTCAACCCAATAGAGCATCTTTGGGATGTGGTGGAACGGGAGCTTCGTGCCCTGGATGTGCATCCCACAAATCTCCATCAACTGCAAGATGCTAACCTATCAATATGGGCTAACATTTTTAAAGAATGCTTTCAGCACCTTGTTGAATCAATGCCACGTAGAATTAAGGCAGTTCTGAAGGCGAAAGGGGGTCAAACAAAGTATTAGTATGGTGTTCCTAATATTCCTTTAGGTGAGTGTATACAATTTAATTCTCTCTATATAGACCCCTTTTCAGTTGGTAAACATGGTGACGTTTTTCTGTGGGCGGAGCTTAGGTGGAGGCAGAACGTTCCCTCTGGCCGCTTCACTAACGTTAGTTTGCAAGTTTTGTTAGCTTGTTTTTTAACAATGACTGGAGAAAATCCGATTTTATCTTAATGTGCAAGGTCACTCAGTGTCCGGGACCGCGATTGTTATTTGCAAAAGTTAATTTTAACGGACGGAACCAGATTGGCCGACCTGTACACGCTCACTCAATTAATGGATGGACGATCTGACAGGATTAACATTAACGCTACCTCCGGTTGAGTGGCCTGACTTCTACACCTATCCGATAGAGAAACCGAGCGTAAAGAGAAACTGAGGGCATATAAATCTTTAGATGCCTATAACTATGTGCTGAATGGTCATGTACAAGACTTGTGTGGTACGATCCGCAGTTCTGCCTAGCCAGCGCCGAGAAGACGACAATGTAAAGAGTGACATTACGGTGCAATGTTAATGATGTGAATATTTTCTAGAAATAAAAATTCCAGATACAGCATATTCATTTTTCATTGATTCTTGCACCCAACAACACAACAGGATGACATTTAATAATAATAATAATAATTTAAGCTCCTTATTATGTAGCCGAATATGTGCTGGTTTGTATTGGCCGCCTCCAGTTGTCCGTTTGTTTTGCCTCCAGCTAGCGCCGTTACGTAACTGTGACGTCGGTGCAAAAGGGGTCTATACATTATGTAACCTCAACTAATATATTCAGAGATTTGCCTCGAAGTCATTTCAGTGAATCAGGTCACCATATGATGACTATAACATCATCTGATGACATTTTCTCCTGCATTTATTGCCATAACAAATGTGTATCAAAAACACAGTTAAAGCAGCCAGGGAAAAACTAATGTTAAAAATTCAAGGGTCAACAACAGCCGAAATAAAGCAAACAATGATCTCCATGGTGACATCACATTTCTGTTAGTGTTTTTTGCACTTTATTTAAATTAGCATATTTTACTTTAATTTTATGTTTTTTGTTTGGCAGCCGTAGCTGCCAGTCGTTTGACCCTTTTTTTAAATATTTTTTTTTACAATGAAGGTATTTGATCTTAATAATTCAGGAAGTAGCTGTGAAATAACAGTGTTTTTTATTTCAGTTTATTTAAATTAGAATATTTTACTTTGATTTTACGGTTTTTGTTTGGCAGCCGTAGCTGCCAGTCATTTGACCATTTTTTTTACGATTTTTTTTACAATGAAGGTATATGATCGTGATAATGCAGGAAATACCTGTGAAATAACAGTGTTTTTCAGTTTATTTCATTTAGGATGTTTTACTTTAATGTTACAGGTTTTTTTTTTTGGGGCTGCCAGTCATTTGACCATTTTATCATTTAACTGTTTTGTTACTGTTTATTTAAAGATTATATTTATAATTTTACATACATTTTTATGTAATTTAAGAAAACAGAAAAAAACGGTATGATATTATTTGTAATTTTATAGAGTTTTGAGTACAATTTAAAATGAAAGAAAATGAACGTCAAAAAAATCAGTTATTTTCTGTAAAATTAGTATTTTTTTTTTAGTGCAAGGTACCCCGGATGCTCTACCATTTCCAGTGGAAATTCCAGCCTTTTGCCAATAAACATTCATTAAATAATAAATTCTAGTCTTATTTTGGGATATTTTGAAGTAGAAGTGGTTGTTTTATAATAAACTTAATTATTTTTCTATTTAGATTCTATATTCATAAACATAAGTTTTCAAACTTGAAACCTATTATTTTGTTAAATAAGTTAAAACATTACATATTACAGTTTCATCTTTTGTTAGCAAAAAACAAACTATTATTTTTGTATTATTATTATTGTTAACTTTAATAATTACTGTTGTTATTGCTTTTGTTGTATTATAAAGCTGTAAGAGGGCAATAATACAAAGAAAAAAGGCAAAGGTATCTCCCTATAATAATAAGAACATCCCTGCTTTTTTGGCAGAAAAAGAATAACTCTAATAATTACTGTTGTTATTGCTTTTGTTGTATTATAAAGCTGTAAGAGAGCAATAATAAAAAGAAAAAATGCGGCTGGTATCTCCCTACTATAATAATAAGAACATCCCTGCTTTTTTGGCAGAAAAAGAATAATTGTACTCGGACCCGTAATAAAGGGACTTTTATTTTGAAACGTGCAACTTCCGGATGACGTCCGTGTTTACGATTGAACGCGTTTGCGTTGCATTTCAAAACAATCACGATAATATCTTCCAGTCAGAGATTTATTTACAGCAAATGATTACTGGTGAGTATAGCTAATTAGTATTAGTGTATCTGTGGAAGGCTGTAAATATTAATCTTGATAAGCTAGAGACGAGCATTAAAGTGTAACAGTGAGAGCGCCGATTGATCTATCAATCTGTCGATGGATAGATTTGACAGTGATGTGGTGTGTGTAGTGTTTGTAGATGGTCCAGTAGAGTGTCCTGAAGACTCCAGCCCCTTCTCTTCCTTCCCCTTTTGATCCAGACCCTTATAATGTGGCCCCTCTACACCTATCATCAACTGCTAGCCTTCCTCCTCACCTTCCTCAGGTATGCTGTCCTGTTCCTACCACCTTCTGCTCTGTTCTTACTATGGTAGCTGCTAATCAGTTTCTGCCTGCGTTACTGAGTGTCTAGCTTTTCTTTTATATTGCTTTAATATTGCTAGCTTTTCTATAATATTAATATAAAATGTTCTAACGTTACCTGCGTTGGCCGAAAGTCTGTGTGGTTGTCCCTAGATCTGTAGTGGATGAAAAGATCTGTTTTACATTTATTGTGCATAATAAGTATTGAACTCTGCCTTGTTTGCCATCTTAGATGACGTAACGCAAAGTTCTGTGTGCTAATTAACTAGCTGTATTCTGATTGCTTAAAATGTTATCATTCCATGTCAAATCAACCAAATTTCAGAAACATAACTTACCTGGCTAAAATTATTTTGTTAACATTTTTGATGAAGAAAGACATAAAAATAGTGACGAAAGCCAAAATATGAAATGCCATGGATCAATATTTACTGAGTACTCCACAAGGGCATCAAAATGACAATTTTCAGATTTGGAGCCAAATTATATGAGGGTGAAAATGACTTTAGAAAGATGGCATCATCATCATCATTATTTTATTCTTATACAGAGATTGGTAGGTTGGCTAGTAACCTTTTATAAGGGAAAAAGCACTTTTTGTGTTCCCCCCGAAGTTTGCATGCCTCTACCTTGATAAATATTAAATGTATCTAAATATCCTTTTAGATTTTGGTTCTTTTGCATACAGTGAATAATTGTATTCAAAGAGGAATATCTGACTAACAAATAATGTTGAGACTAGAAATATATCCTGTTTCCCTTTATCAGAATGATTGCATAGAACATACTTGTCTGAGTGGCAAAATACACTGAAATTAACAATAGTGTATTCAATAGTTTTCAATAGTGTATTCACAAGTTTCTTTATTTGAATATAGATATTTTCTAAGAGTTCAAATACATAGTATCGTAACTACATGCTTGAAATAAGTTTCATGGCAAACAGGACAGTGTGGTTTCTCTCCCCACACATGTGTATTCAATAAACCAATATTTGCCTCACCTGGATTGTTTAAGTGTTACATTTTCGTCTTGTTATGCCCTGAGGATGGTCTTTTGACCGAAAGCTTGGTGATTAAATTTGCTTAAAGGATTTAAGTGTGCGGACAGTTTATTTATTTTTTGAGATCTTTAGTCTTGTTTGTCTGGCACCTTGATGATCGTGAGTGCGGTGTAACTCCTTCAATACATTTTCGTCTTGTTATAAAATGTGCACATAGACTTCTATCCACTGCTGAGGAGCATATTTAACAGAATCACTGATATCACCTCAAACGAAAAGACATTCAAGGGATAATTTACCGGTATACCTTCCAGAGCTGGTTCGGTAGACATGAAATCTAAAAATTAAATGAAGGTATTGCACCAGCTAAACATTTTCCTTGTTATTTATACAATGTATAGACAATGTATAGATTCAAAAATCAAGATATTGACATTATTGTTTCTATTATATGTGAATAAATAAAGGTGCATTTCTAGTTGATCTTATTCAGATATTCAAAAAGTATTTTTTGCTTGCAAAATTACCACATTAAAAATGGATAAAATTCAACAGAAAAAGGAGCCACATTGAGTATCCCAAATCTTAGGTTTTAAAAATGAAGATGTGAAAAGAAAAGGAAAGTTTGTTAAGAACCAGAATATTGATATTGTGATATCTGTAATACTTGAGTTACAGGCACGTAAACTTTGGAAAAAGAATATTCTAGGCGTTCAGACAGTTAATTTCTATGTTATTGTTTTGATAAAGGGAAACAAGATACATTTCTAGTTTCGAAATGATTTGTTCTTCAGACATTTCTCTTCAAAAGGAAAAAAAATATTAACTGTATGCAAAGTGACCCACATATGGTTTTTGACCACTGAAAATGTGTAGCCTACAATTTAACAATTTTCTCATGGAGCCACACTGAGATCCCCACATTTCTAGATCTGAATCGTAGGATCTTGCGTTTGTTAAGAACCAAAATCTATAAAATGTTAAGATATCTTTTATATTTTTTGAGTTATAAGCATGCAAACTTGAGGTGGGAAAATGCATTTTTGGACTGTCACCATTGCCGTGTAATGCAACAAAGGATTGCTAAAGTCAACTGATTAAAAATAATGATGCTGACATTTTTCTAAAGGGAAAACCTCTCCCATTTAAGAGTTATTGAGCCCGTCTGTGCTCATGTGAACCCTTTACCTAAACATTATTTTGTAGTCTTTCCCAAATCTGTTTCTGATCTTTGCAGGTAGTCCCTTTGACCTCATAATTGACCTCATGGTTTTTGCTCTGTAATGATTTTTCAGCGGTGACTTGTATAGGCAGGTGTGTTTTTCTAAATCATGTCAAGTAATTCAATTTGTCACCAGTTAACTGGACAAAATAAGTGCCACAAGAAAGGCTTTGAATAGTTATGCCATGTAATGTGGTTTTTGCCTTGTCATTATTGGTGCAACATGACAAAATGTGAAAAGAGTGAAAGGGTATGAATACTTTGCAAGGAACTATAAGAGTGTTCACGATAAAGAAATGAAAAATGTTTTAAAAAGAAGGAAAATATAATATAAAACGCACGTGGCAAGTTCTTAGAAATGCATGCTTTGTATTAATGTTGGTTTCATGTGGTTTTGAAAAGTCTAATGATTCATGTATAATTATGTAGACATGAAAGAGAAAGTTACAGTGTTGACCCATATACATGAAGAACTTAAAGCTGCAGTAGGGAGTTTTGAGAAAACGTTGACTTAGCCTGAAAATTTGAACAAACACAACTTACAGGTCCCACCCCCTTGCTCTCTGCTGCGCTACAGCCCTACCTCCACAGCTCGTCCTCCCCAGCGGAGCCTGCCGTGAACGCGCAGGCAGGGCCACCGATGACGGCGGATAAACAGTTATGGCACATTCACTAGTAGGGACGAAACATCAACAATATGCTTTAAATTGACTAAGGCCTGCCCATACTTTGACTACAAACTTGGTCCTCAAATCATTACGTATTTTGCCATACATGTAATGTAACTTTATAACGTTGCACCCTTTCTATAAGTTATAAATAGCTAGTAAGATAATATAACGGTAACTAACGTAACATAATATAATTCAAGTAATTATTCTAGCGATATGTAGGCCTAATGGTAAATGGACTGCATTTATATAGCGCTTTCACAGACCCAATGGCCACCAAAGCGCTTTACAATTTGCCTCACATTCACCCATTCACACACCGACGGCGGTGCTAATGCTAGATAAGGTTTGCTAGTACATTTGTAACGGGGTTCAGTTGTTATGGGAAAAAGGAGGCGGGAACCGGCGAACGTTCAACAAGTTTAATAATAAATAAACAAATACAAAATGAAAGTATAAGCCAGCAGCCCCTCAGGCCTGTTCCTGTCTCCACTGTCGTCGCTCCTCCTTTATGCCTCCGCTCCTCCGTGAGAGATGCGAGACCGGTGCGTCTCACAGGTGTCGTTCATATCACTCGTGCCGCTGTCATGTCCCTGTCCCTCGGCCTCGTCCTGCTCGCCACAATATTATTTCAGCAACATGACAAGCCAGTGAATTAGCAGGTTTCAATTGTTGCTTTGCACAGTGCGTGACATTTTATCTACATGTCACGCGGCTAGAGTTTTGACACCGAGTCAATGGGCTCTGTCTAATTCTTTCTTTTTCGCTTGTTTATCGTCATCGTTTTTTTTCCTTTTACCTGTCTTTGTTTTATAAGCAGGTGGCACTCGAGAAATTGGCAGTTTACCATAGGTTGTTTCTCCGCCATTAGCACAGCTGCAGCACACCGGCAATCTTGAGTTTGGTTTGAACGACGGTAAGCGCTGTGCAAGAGAGGGGTGTGATCAGCGCATACACGAGCATGATTGACACTGCCAAGACATTCCTCCTGGCTCCGATTGGTTGTTTCTGACCAGGAGCGGTGCAGAGCCGTTGAAAAACAGAGTTGCGACACTCCCATAGACCGCCATAGGAACTTTGGAATGCGGAAGTAACGCGTGTCGTGGAGCAGCCAATAGTTCCAAACACTGATAGTTCCAGCATTGAACCCCATTCATTTTCAGTGTTTCCGAAGTACGCTCGCTGGTAAATTAATGTAATTACTGTATTTTTTTTTACTTTTACACACATTAGCCGACCTCTCGTGAATCTAGTCAGTAGTTATATTTTATGTAGCCAGTTTTAGTTAATGTTTATTGGAAGATAATAAGTTAATTGCAGCTATAGCTTACGTGACCAACACTTCACTTCACTAACGTTAGCTAACTTACGGTAACCTGATGTGTATAATATATAATATTATTAATAATAATATTTTATATATATATATATATATACATACACACACACTCACCTAAAGGATTATAAGGAACACCTGTTCAATTTCTCATTAATGCAATTATCTAATCAATCAATCACATGGCAGTTGCTTCAATGCATTTAGGGGTGTGGTCCTGGTCAAGACAATCTCCTGAACTCCAAACTGAATGTCAGAATGGGAAAGAAAGGTGATTTAAGCAATTTTGAGCGTGGCATGGTTGTTGGTGCCAGACGGGCCGGTCTGAGTATTTCACAATCTGCTCAGTTACTGGGATTTTCACGCACAAGCATTTCTAGGGTTTACAAAGAATGGTGTGAAAAGGAAAAAACATCCAGTATGCGGCAGTCCTGTGGGCGAAAATGCCTTGTTGATGGTAGAGGTCAGAGGAGAATGGGCCGACTGATTCAAGCTGATAGAAGAGCAACTTTGACTGAAATAATCACTCGTTACAACCGAGGTATGCAGCAAAGCATTTGTGAAGCCACAACACGCACAACCTTGAGGCGGATGGGCTACAACAGCAGAAGACCCCACCGGGTACCACTCATCTCCACTACAAATAGGAAAAAGAGGCTACAATTTGCAAGAGCTCACCAAAATTGGACAGTTAAAGACTGGAAAAATGTTGCCTGGTCTGATGAGTCTCGATTTCTGTTGAGACATTCAGATGGTAGAGTCAGAATTTGGCGTAAACAGAATGAGAACATGGATCCATCATGCCTTGTTACCACTGTGCAGGCTGGTGGTGGTGGTGTAATGGTGTGGGGGATGTTTTCTTGGCACACTTTAGGCCCCTTAGTGCCAATTGTGCATCGTTTAAATGCCACGGCCTACCTGAGCATTGTTTCTGACCATGTCCATCCCTTTATGGCCACCATCCTCTGATGGCTACTTCCAGCAGGATAATGCACCATGTCACAAAGCTCAAATCATTTCAAATTGGTTTCTTGAACATGACAATGAGTTCACTGTACTAAAATGGCCCCCACAGTCACTAGATCTCAACCCAATAGAGAATCTTTGGGATGTTGTGGAACGGGAGCTTCGTGCCCTGGATGTACATCCCACAAATCTCCATCAACTGCAAGATGCTATCCTATCAATATGGGCCAACATTTCTAAAGAATGCTTTCAGCACCTTGTTGAATCAATACCACGTAGAATTAAGGCAGTTCGGAAGGCGAAAGGGGGTCAAACACAGTATTAGTATGGTGTTCCTAATAATCCTTTAGGTGAGTGTATACATACACAAATAATATATTATGTGTATGGGTTAGGGTTAGTTATGTATGTATGTGATTTAAATATATATACATGTGTACTGTACACAGTACATCGTATACATGTATTTGTGTGTTTTCTGATGAATGGTTTAGTCTATGATTAGGGAAGGAAGGGGTACATTAGCCATACTGAAATGAATCCCGTTCACAGTTATGGATCGTATGTTAAAAACATACATGTTATGGATCGTAGCCTATTTAGGAACATAGTTAATTCACTCATTAACTATCTCTCCAGTTTCATTTTATAAAGTTAAAATTTTACCGAACATTGCTGCAAATATAGTCGTTGCTGTTAATCCATTCTCCGTTATGGGAGCAGTCCATTTCCCTCCAAAATTAAACACAAAAACTTATTAATGCTGTGTTTCCGTCACTCCCCAGAAAAAAATGCTATTATATATATTTGAAGTAAGCATCAACATAATTATCAATGTACATTATGTGTCAATATTTACCGATAATTGCTGCAAATATAGCTGCTGCTGCTGTCTGTCCCGCTTAAAATCATTCAAACTGGTTGACAGCGCGGCTCTGTTTGGAACTATTGAGAGCTACACAACTGCTGCTGTCTGTCCCGCTTAAAATCATTCAAACTGGTTGACAGCGCGGCTCTGTTTGGAACTATTGAGAGCTACACAAACCACGTGACCGCGTGGCGGCGAGATCAAAGAGTGTCGCAACTCTCATATTTAACGGCTCTGGAGCGGTGTATTTCTGCAAATGGCAATAGGACCACTGGGAGGAGCCAGAGGAGCTTGATTTTTTTTTCACAGATTATCTGTCTCATATTCTACTGTCAGGACATAATGACCGTTTTAACAAATATGTAAAAAAATATTTGTTTACAAAAGTTACCTACTGCAGCTTTAATGAAGGACATCGTGTTAATGAGCTTGCATAATACATGTGCTCATCTCCATTCATACTGTCTATTCTCCCCACTCTCTATCCAGCTATGTCCTGCTTCACTCGTCACGTAAGACTTTTAGTAATGTGAAAGTGAGCATCTCAGCACAATGGACACCGTCAGGATTGCAGCAGAATGGCAGCGCTGTAGCTTTGTCTCCTGGAGTGGTACGCATATAATACATACTTCCCAATTTCTCTTGCTTGTTTCATTTCCCATTTTTTTAAAATGATTTCTTTCTATATAAAGGAGCAACATTTTCCCTAGCCTGGTAGATAATGATGTTAGTAATGAGCATTTCCAGTCATTTTGTTGTCGAAAACAAAAAGGAGTTACTGATTACTCGAAAATTTAAATCTTAATTCAATAAAAAATAACAAAAAATATTAAAAAATATTAAAACAGAAAATCAGAAGAAAAAAAACTTTCGAGAAGTAGATTGCAGCCATTAGTGTAATGCACATAAACTGCATAAGGTCTTTCACATTTGTTATGGTTTAACATAGTCTTATTCAAAACCAAGTAGTAGTAAATGTGCTCTGCCAGGTAGGGATGAGAGAAAAACTGCATTTGTCCTCACACACTGTATTGATGCTTGTCTTTTGAATGCCCCACAGTACTGTATCAATATTGTATTTCACATGAATACTTTTGTGAAAAAGGCGATGAATCATTAAGTCTGTGAAAGGGCAACCCATGGTCAAGCATTAAGTCAGTACACACTTTATTCTTTCTGTTTGGCAAAAATACAAACTAACATTCTCACAACTTGCAATATAGTTGTACAAAGCACTGAAGTCCAATGCAGACTTTTCAGTTTTTAATATTAATTTATAATAATAATCTTACTCACTTATTTTTTGTTTTTACTTTTGTAGACATGGGAGGATAACAAACTGTTTGCTGATGTGGGGGAGGCTACTTTGTTTTTGGGTGCTCTGGATTCAATCTTTCTCTTCTCTTATGCTGTGGTAAGTTAAAAACAGGAATAGGTGCAGCAGGCAGGATTTGTGGGTTGGAGTTGGACAGTGATAATCTGTTATGAACAAATAATGCTGCTGGTGCACCACATTTACTATTAAATGCTACTGTGACAGTAAAGGTGTGTGATATTGACAAAAATATATATCTCAATATCTAAAATATATCAAATATTTGCTGAGTCTGTCTTAATGTGTGAGTCACTCAGTATGTGTACATGGACAGCAGCAATCTAATTATTGACCTTATTCTGAATAAGGTGTTTACATGCTTTTAGAATATTCCTTTCATGTTCCCGTTTTACATGTTAGAACCTTTAATTTTAATTTCTGATTTTAATTTATTTTTTATTAATGCCATGAACCAGAACAATACAATGAGACAAGCATTCAAAGTAAATGTATAAAGTAAGATAAAATAAAACAGTGCCAGAGGACAAGAACAAAATTATAACAAACAAAAGAAAAAGGGTACTACTTTATACAAGATCATACCTGCTTACAATGCTATAAGCTCTAATTGCCTTTTTACTTGTGCAATTACACAAAACAGAACAGTAAAGCTTGAAATCATTTTTAAAGCAAGAAAAGTTAGGTTTGGAGTCAGACCATTTCATTTTATGAATTAATTAATATGAACAATTCTATGAAGTATGCCTTATCTTTCTCAATCCCATGATCATTGAAGGGTATCAATAATGTCAAATCCACTCAGCTGCAAATCATTGTCCAATTTTTCATTAATTAAATGCTACACATCAATCCAAAATATTTTTGTATGTATGCAATGAAAAAAAGAAGAAAAAAAAAGAAACATTTTTTCCTTTTCCCCTTTACAGAAATTACAAGAGTAATCATTATCTAATTTAAAGCGTTCCAGCTCATTTTTTACTGGATATATTCTATGGATTATTTTAAAAGAGACTTCTTTTACTTTGTTATTAATGTAAAATGTATCCACTGTTTGCAAGCATTATGCCAATTTACATCTTTAAACACAGATGACCAGAAAAGGCGAGCTGGAGGATAAACAATATCATTAAGTATATTTCTAATGTAGTAATTTGAGACTCTATTTTGTAAAATATTTGTATTACCAATAAATATTTTACCAATGATATCTGTAAAATTTAGATCTTCCTCCTGTGATGTTTTTCTCAGAAGGATCAATACTTTTCAGGGGATTGCATCCATTACAACAGCAAAATCTTTAGGTCTAACTGGTATTTTAAATTTATTCGAAAAAATCTCTATATGTCATTGTTTAAAAGCTGACTAACTAATATAGTACTATTTTCTAACCAGTAATCAAAAAAGAGAGATTTATTTTTTGTGGGATCATGTCTTTATTGTTCCAAAATAATATCTCTTTGGTGAAAAGTAAATCTGCCAGAATTCCCCCTTGCTAATTTTACAGAACTAGTACATCATTTGTATAGGATTTTGATAGCTTTTTAAAAATAACTGCCAAACCCAAAAAAATTCAATTGCTTTAAAAGAAAGTTGGTAGTGAGACTAATGGGTCTCCAATTCTCTTAATAATAATAAAAAATGGCTTTGGAATTAATGTAATAACACCTTGTCTTTAAGAGGAGGGCAATTCCCCCTTTTCAATAGATTCTATGAACACGGCCAGCAAAAATGGAGTCAACTTATCTCAAAACACTTTATAAAACTCACTGACAAGTTCATTATTACCTGGAGAATGATTATCTTTAAGGTTACTAATACACTCTTTAACTTTCTCCAATTGTAATTCACCATCGTTTTGTGATTGTGAATTTAAAATCATCCTCAATAACTTTGGCTTTATCTAAAACACTATCCAGAAAGTCATTCAGATCAGAAGAACTTGGGAGTGTACAGACTTTGTACAGACAGTAACAAACTGTGATATCTCTTTTTCATCCTTTGTGATTGTATTATTAATTAACAATTTATTTATAGAGGTCAATACACCATTCCCCCCCCCCCCAACAAATGAGTATTTCTTTCCCCCGGTTCCAACTTCCAACCATTTAGTATATCTTAATCTGATAAATGCACCCTCTGATTTTTCTTGATAAATGTTATCCAGTTGTACTTGTAACAATGATAAATCCATTAGTTCCTGCGTGTTCAAATCACCTTTACTTGCATTATTTCTTTGATAACAATATTCTTTTTGTCTTTTAAGGGACTGTTCGTTTTTTATTTAAGGGGCTACCGGAGGAGATTTGAGATCTGTAGTCAAAAAAGACTTGACCCTCCCTTTGCCAGCAATATATTTTTCTATGACCCTCCAAAATGATTGTGAAAAAAGGCATGACGCTCCCCGATAATTTATTGATTACTTCTGTACTGGTTTGCGCTTGGCAAAGATGTTCAGATAGCCATTGTTTTTTTTACAACCATGACACACGACTAAACTCCTGCTTTCTCATCTTACTAGGGCTATAACGATAGACCAAACCTACAATTCGGTTCGTATCACGATTTTTGATTTGAAAAAAAATCATGTTTTCGGTGCTGATCCAGTGGTGACGCGTTCATGTAACATGTAAGGGTGGCTAAAAGCTGCCACAAAGAACCGGCAAAAGTAATGATTATGAATGTCAAATATAGCAAGGAGACATTTTAATAGTTTATTAATAAACAAGTCTTTGTCAGTGTGTCGGCTGCAAAGATAAAGGTGACGATGCTGACTCGCGATCTTCGCAGTAGTGAACGCGCCAGAGAGAAATGCACATTTCATACGGATTACATAAGCAGAGAGCAGTCTGTAGTCTGTTTTCTTTCGTTTTGAATTGTTCTGTTAAAAAGTAGACATTTCAAGCTTTCTATATATTTATCAGGTCTGTGAGGCAAGTAGCCTACCTTAGGCTATGCGCTGAGTTTCGGTTCATTTATTAGATGAGTCCAGTTCACACGCCGGCGCCTCCGTGTCATGATGATCTATTTTCTACTATATTTACTTCTTATTTATTAAATCAGGCAATTGGTTGATGAAACATTGATTAAAATTAGATACAATTTAATAAAAAACGAAATTCACTTTAAAAAAAGGCTTTGTGCTTTGTTTGAGGTCTCTGTGAAAGTTTTAAAGTCACTTTCAGAGCGGTCATGTCCGTAACGGAGAACTGTCACGTCCGTAAAAATGTTTTCCCCCTCATAAATGCGAACACGAAAAAAAAAAAAAAAAGAATATTTTATGTTATTTGGAGGCTGACCCTTCTTCATCCGGTGGGTAGTATTACTTTTGTTTTGCACAGCGTAGTTTATAGAATTACTAAAAAATATTTTGCCACCTAAAAGTTAAAGATTTTTTGTCACATCACATGTGTATTTCCCTCATATTAAATATAAAACGTGTATAAATGTGTAGACTGATATTTTTCTAATGTCTGGACTCCTTTATTAAGGGAGTATGAATATATAAACAGACGTTTCAGTATTAAATGCATTTTCTGAGAATTTATATTTCAAGTTTTTACTGCAAATGTCACATCCATAACGCTGCAATTGCCCAATTTTAAAGGATTTATCCTCAACTAGTTTTTTTGGTGCAGGTCTACATATTTTATTATGTTAACTTCAAATAATACTAATAGTAGCTAATTTAAAAATGTGGTAGCCCTACATCTAACACATCACACTCCACTGTTATGGTGGCAATTTCAGTAGATTTACTCACTAACATTGTTGTGGAAACACAGTAAGAATGGAAACGTACTCGGTTACTAACGTAACCTCGGTTCTCTCTAGAGAGAGGAACGAGTACTGCGTAGTAAAACTACGCTTTGGGGAAAATCCTTTTCCACGAGAATACTGAAGCCTAAAATTATTCTTAATTTTGTATAGATGTAAAACGCGTTGCCGCAGCATACAGACCTAGGCGAGACAGCTCGCGCGCCGATTGGCTGCTGTGCTGGCAACTGCTTGAGCCTATCGAGCGAGACCATGAGTGACGTCACACCCAATGGGGGGCGCTTCGCGCCCTTCTGCGTCACGTCCCGCCGAAACGGGCGTGGCTTGGGACTATAAATTGCGCTCGCAGGCTTAACTCTGTGATTTTTAACAGTGAAGTACAACAGAGTGCACGCACGACATGATACGCAGTACTCGTTCCTCTCTCTAGAGAGAACCGAGGTTACGTTAGTAACCGAGTACGTTCTCTTACGAGAGATACTCTCGTACTGCGTAGTAAAACTACGCTTTGGGGAACTCGATGTAAAACGTCGTGCGTGCTGGGATCCGACACCATAGACCCAAGGCGACCAGCCGGGTTTTATACAGTGCATAATCACCAAGGGACTCACAGGGAATCCTGGAAGAAGAGGGTTTAGCCACTATCTTCCGAAAAAGGCGGCTTAAGCGGCCCTGCTATTATAATAGCCATATATAACAAGACTGAACTTCAGTCTAGCCCCTTTTGGCCTAATTAGACCGATAGTAACCTGGCTTGAAGAGCAGGAACCTCTAGGTTATAAAACCTTATAAATGTAGATGGGGAGGCCCAGCCTGCCGCCATACAGATATCTTGCAAGGCAATCCCACTTGACCAGGCCCACGATGAAGCCATGCTTCTCGTGGAATGTGCTCTGACACCCAACGGGCATTGCACGCCCTTGGTAGTGTATGCTAGAGCTATTGCGTCCACTATCCATCTGGATAGGCTCTGCTTCGAAGCGGCTAGTCCCTTAGAACGCCCGCTAAACGAAACAAAAAGTTGTATTAAGGGAGTATTAAGGGATTTTGGAACATAACCATGCTTAGGTTTGAGTATGACCCTCGAGTCGTTAGGCCCAAACTCTAAACACGCAGCGCTCACGGAAAGCCGTTGATGGCCCACACGTGAAGGGACCATAGTTCCGGGTGGGGATGCCAAATTGAGCCATTGGCTTGAGAAAGGAGATCCCTTCTCAGAGGCACTGGCCACGGGGCGGTGCTCGCTAACTGCATCACAGCTGGGAACCATGGTTGGTTCGTCCAGAGCGGCGCTATAAGCAGCA